CACAGGGCCCTGAGCCAGGCCCCCGGACCGGCCACAGCTGCAGCGACGGGTCCTTCAGGCTCAGAGCTTGTGCCTGTCCTAACAAGGCCCGTCACTAGCCAGTAACTCCGTTGGTAAAGTGGCCCCCTGTGTGTGCCCAGGAGACCGAGACTCGAAATTGGAGGTCCGCTGTTATAGCTTATCCTGAGGGCCTGGGAACACTGCTTCCCTGTCCCCTCTAACTGGGTTTTGCTGCGGTCTTATTTTTTAAAGCCTGTTTTCTATCGAGCTTAATTGTACAAGGTACCTCAGGTTGTTTTTTGAAGCGAAGAGGGCAATAAACCCTAAGTAAAAGAAATAAACTAAGCAACTGAAAAAAAATTTGCTCGCTCTACAACAGTAACTGGAAAGAGTTGGTTTTATATCATCTGAGAATAACAATCGATTTTTTTCTTAATAGCATGGATTACGGTTGTTTTGGGTTTGAGCTATGCAAATAATTTGCACTTCTCTCAGTCTGTTTAAATATGGTGTTAGAATTCAAATTAACACTAATATCTTCAGATTATACACTATTGTTATTATGAACTTTATTGTGTCGGTTCAGAAGGTGGTGCTTGTAGATCTCTGTCATTTCCCTAGGAAATTTGCATCTCATTAGAGGGAATTATGCTGCTCTTGCGAGACCTGCACTGCTATTTTGTGGTGAGATCATTAATAGGCATATTTTAAAACTGTTAATGATCATTAATAACAGTGATGACATAACACCTCAGCAAAGCGTGCCAGATACCAGAACGCTTCCTTTCCCTTGTCTTTGTGTAAGCGCTTAAAGAATCGGTGATACTTTCTTGAATGAAGCTAAGGTAATGAGAACTGTAGACACGGGTACTGCCGGGGCCAGCAGGTGGCGTGGTGGTGACAGCGCTGGACCCCACGTGGCCCACCACAAGTTGAGTCCTGGACCTGTCAGCTGGGAAATCACGCCGTGTGTGTCTGTGCTCAGAATCCTGCCAGGAGAATGGAGAAGGGATTTCGGCATGGCCACTGTTTCTCTCTCTGACTCACTGGGCAAGCTCACACTCCCTGTGGCAAAAACCTTAGAAAAATAAGAAATAGCTACTACCTTTGCCATGGCCAGGATTACACCACTGAAGAGGATAAGTCCTGCCTCCTTGGCAACCCCCCCCTTGCTTATCGGGGTATGGAGGAGGCCGTCTGTACTCCACCCTGAGTAACTGAGGGCTTCCGAGAGGGTCTTGGTGATTTCTTTTTTTAAGAGAGATTTTTGCTATAGGGCATGTACACTTGCCAGGGAGACAGAGACAGAGAGAGACAGAGAGACAGGAAGTGAGAAACCATCCTCCAGGTGATGGGATGGCCACCCTCCAGGGGAGGTGGCCCTGCCACAATCTCTTCCTCTTCATTTCTCCCTCATGATTTTAGGCATGCACACACGTGCCCAGCGTGAGTTTTAAGCTGCCAGGTCCAGGACCCAAACTGTAGTCGACTCCATGGGAATTCAGTGCCTTAACCACTATGTCGCCTGCCGGCCCCAGGGTCTCAGTGACTTTTAACTGAAGAGTCCTGAAGAGGCTCCTAACAAAGTTCTACGTGCCTTGGTCAGGGCTCCTGACAAAGACCCATCTGTCCTTAAAGTGAGGACTCCTGAGAGAGCCCAGTCTCTTTATTGAAAATGCTCGGTTCCTCCCCACCTTCACGCTCACCTGAGCCCAGATTAATTCTCTGCAGGTTTGAGCTACAAGCTCCTTACTTCAGTTACCCTCTTCAGAAGCTGCCAAGACCTTCTGGCCATGGGCTTCTTCCACAGAATGTTGGCCTTGGGGAGAGTGACCGTGTTTGTAGGTGGGGACGAGAGGAGGACTGAGTCAGTGACACTAGAGGAGGTGCATGCAGAGATGTGGGGAGCAATGGGGTCCCAGGCCCTCGCGGTGTTCTCGTCCAGCAATCGCGGGCCTCTGTCTGACATCTGGACCTCTGTGATGCTTGAGGAAAGAGCCTTTGGCCCCTGGCCATGTTGCCCTGTCACGGGGACAAGCCCTTCTCATCAGGTGAGCAGAGCTGGGAGTGCGTTTACAGAGCCCTTTGAAAACAGAGGCTCTGTGGGCCAGCCTATGGCATGGTGGTAAAGGGGGCTAGATTTCATACAGCCAACTACAGGGTTCGAGTCCTTGACCCGGTGGCTTGAAAGACACACTGGGCACATGTGTGTGCGAGTCCAAAGTCCTGAGAGAAGAGTGGAGGAGCAGGGATCGCAACATGGCCGCTCCCCCGGGGTGCTTCCTCGCTTCCTCGCTCTTTTTGTCTCTCTCTGGCAAGTGTGCCTGCCTTACAACAAGCATAAATTAATTAATTAATTAACTAAAGGTCCTAGCTTGGAATTCGGGAGCAGGGTCTGTAGCTGAGCGGCAGGAGGTCCGTAAACTCCCTGGATCTGAGACTGAGTTCTGAGGGAGGTTTCCAGGGGGTTAGCACACTCAGGTCCCTCTCCAGGTCTGGCCGGCAGCTCGTTTGTACAGTCTGATTGGAAGGCAGCTGCGGCCATGGTGTGCGTGTGACTGCAGAGCTGAGCTGTTGGCTCAGAGACCAGGTGGCCTGTGGAACCTGTTGGCTGTGTACTCTCTGGCTCTTTGCAGAAGTTTGCTGAGCCCTGCTGTCCGATACCGTAGCCATCTGACTGACGTACATTTAGATCAATGGAAGTTAAACAGAATGTAAATTCAGTTTCTCCGTCACTCTGGCCTCAGGTCAAGTGCTCAGAAGCTGCATGGTACCCTATTGGGCAGCACAGAGAGAGGACATTTCCAGAAAATTCCACCGGACAAAGCTGCGCTAGAGCTCCTATCAGATTCACAGCAGGGCCTCTGATTCAAAAGGGGTTACTGGACATTAGTGAGAGATTAGAGGCCCGTGGTCTCCCCGCACCTGCCTGGCACAGGTGAGGCAGCCCAGACAAGAATGCCCAGCTTTCCGCCACAGGTCCAGCAGGGCAGAAGGAAGGGCCTGTCCAGTCTTCTCCGCATCATGGTGTTGAGGTTCTCAGCCGTTGGCTCTAAGAACAGGCAGGCTTTCCCTGGCCTCCCGGACCGGTGCGGACAGGCTGCCGTAGCTCAGGGAGTCTCCCCGCGGGGCTCCCTGTACTGCCCACCTGGAAACGTGGCTCACAGATGTCTGGGCTGACCAGTCAGGCATGAGCGAGCCAGGCTCAGCTCTCCCAGGTCCTGCTGGTCTGACTTGGGACCACGGGACAGCTTGTGTGTCTGGAAAAATGTGAGTTGCACACACTCACGAAGTGGAGGGGCAAGAGGGAAGGTGGGAGGATGGGCAGGGACAGCCGTGGGCCTGGGTGCACCCACGTGGTATGTGCCCTGGGCTCTCCCTGTCACTGCGTTTATTCAGTGAGAGACTGGACGTGCCTGCGAGGGAACCGGCTTATACACACCAGCTTCTTGGACCCATCCCTGACTAACTCCGTGCCCTTGGGCAGATTTTTAACTTCTCGAGGCCTCACTGTGGAGAGGGGAGTGGGGAGAGCTGATAAAAGGACTCCCTGAAGACTGGGCTCTCAGGGAAGGAAGCCAGTCCCTCCCTGCACTGCAGTCCGTCTGGACAGTTGTGCTGGTCAGCAAGCAGATGGACGGACGGACAGAATCCTAGGGAATGGCCCCTGCCAGCCTGGGCGGCCCTGTGTGCTCTCTTCACAATGTCGCCTCACCCACATGGCGCCAGGGCTTGTACTGGCAGCTCCCCTGGCTGCCTGCCGCCTGCTCGTCTGCCGTCAAAGCCAGCCTGGGCCTTTCCCGCCCCGCCCCGCCTGGCTGGGAAGAGGAAGATAAGGGCTGAGCTGCTTCTGCCGGCTTTGGAGAGAGGTGAGGCCAGGTGAAGGGTGTCCCTTCTCGGCTGCTGCTGCTTCCCGAGAAAGATCAGAAGAGGCAGGGAGTCAGCCACCGAGATGACAGAAGACGCTCGGTGTAATCCCCGGGGGCGAGGGCCGGGGACGGACCGTGTAGGCACTTACAAATTATCTCAGCTAATCCCCCACGGCGGACGGCGGTGGACAGGCGTTGTCCCCCCACCGATGTACAGGCCGGCCCCGGGGGAGTGCTGTGCAGTTCGAGAGTGCTCGACACCAGGAGTTTTACTGTGGCCTTTCTGGCACTCAGACTCCTCTCGCCCTACCTGTGCTCCCTGCAAAACTTCTGGAACAAGGCGGAGGCTGGCGAGTTGTTGAG